ACTAACGAAAAAACGAAAACTAGATGGGAAAAAACATTGTCGTTAACTGAAATAAAAATAAAAACGAGCCATTACAAAAAAACTATAACTAACTAAAACTGTAATGTCTGTTTGCAAAACTAACTAAAATAAAATAAAATTATAGAGCAAATGTCCTTAGTTTTCGTCTTTGTCAATGCCGTTAATTTTAACGCTATTTAAAACACGCAGTGTATTTGTTCAACTGCATTTCATTTCCCTGTAACGCTCTCCCTCCGTCTCTTTCACATGCACGCGCACACACACCTACACACACAGCCCCTCCCCCTCCATGCAGTACACACCGCGTCTCCGTGAAAACGAGCCAACGAGGGTTCGATCAATGTTGAAAGCAAGTTCGTGAAAGGTTGGTATCTCATCATGAACATCTTTACACAATCACACATTAAAAGGTGGTGTACAAATATTATAAATTCTTAATACAATTCTGTCAGTGTGTTAATGCCGACCCGAGAAGCGATTGAGCCTTCGTTAAAAAAAGTTAACTGACTTAGTCGCAATTTTGAGGTAAAATGCTGCTGGGTTGTCGATGTCAAAACTCTATAAGCTGTGATTCAAATATTAAATAATGTTATGTCATTATTCTACTCGGTAACACTTTAAAGGAATTTCACATTGTAGGCTACATTTGGTTTTAATGTTGAATAGATATTTCTAAAAATGTATGTTTTTGTTGAGTTATTATTACACAATTCTTTTTCTGACCTTTTTCAACCATGCCCCTGACAAATAACCCAAATTACAAAAAAAAAAGACTAAAACTAACACTAAAACTAATAAAAACTAAACTAAAACTAAGCATTTTCAAAAAATAGAAACTAAACTAAACTAGTAAACCCACTTTTAAAACTAATTAAAACTAAACTGAATTTGAAAACAAAAATTCAAAACGAAATAAAAATAAAAACTAATGAAAAATGCAAAACTATAATAACCTTGGAGGAGTGTAAGCATAATCTTACGCCAACATATACGCCCGTTTCTACGCAAGATTGATAAATGAGGGCCAGTGTCTTCTCATAGGATAAGACGAAAAAACTCATATAATAACCCTATTATTAAATCTAATATATGCTAACATTGTCTTCAATGGTTTTCAACACACATACCTCTGTTAAAATCTCTGAAAATTTGGTTTGGGGTTTCATGACTCTTAAAGGAGAGCTCTGGGTGATTTGCCCTCAGGGTTGGTCAATGGCTGCGCATTTGCAGCAGCACAGATGTTCATGCTTTTGCCACTCCAGACAAATATAACACACTCCAGATAGAAAAAGCATCTCTAAAGCAGCACATTACATAACCCTAAGTTTAGCATATTTCAAGTGCATGCCTGTGTTCAGACATTGCAAGTGTTCCACGCTCTGCAAACGTCATCTTTACTTGCAAACCTGCGATAACTTGAATTCTAGAGGACTCTCTGGTGCAGGTGTGCACTTAAACACACTTAGCCAGTTGAATAAATTCTGGTAATGGATAAAAAACTAGTAGATTATGATCTCATTATGCTCATTTCTTTCAGTACTTCCAGATGCCTGGGGTTTTAAAACACTTCACCATGCTGTTATGGTGGTGAGTGATCATAATTGGCATTAAATTATGAAAACAGCTTTATCTTTCAAACAGCTAAGCTTTTACGAAATTCCATCCACTCATATTCAAGCACCCTAAGAACACCTTGAAATTAACCTAACCTAATGACAGATATTTCTGCCACACTGAAATGGGGGCCCTCCCTAAATAGTGTTAATTTGTTATATATATATATATATATATATATATTTTTTTTTTTCACACACAGACACATACATAGCCATCTTTGCCTGGAAGAACAGAAAGATTTTGTTCATATACAGCAGCAGACACCACATCTCAAACTCACATTAGCCTTCAGTAAAGCTAATAGTACGATAATAATAATAATAATAATAATAATAAACAACATCAACACTTCGTAATGCATCTTTACTGATTCAATTTTTTAATTCTAATTTCTAATTCAAATTGTCAGGCAGCTTCAGCTGATTTCATGCTCTCAGATGTGCAGCCAAAAAAATATGGTCTAGATTATTTTTTTTTCACAGTTCTTTCTCCTCCATGCAATCACTCAAAAGGAGTTATGATTCAACCACACCACCTTTTTTCTTAATCTAGGAGATCCTGAAAGCCTAACACAAGTGATTGACAGCAAAGATGATCTGCAAAGCATGCACCCCATGCCATTTGCTTGTCATAAATACAAATGACAACAGTAAGCTTTGCACATACAGCACTAACTAAGCTGCTATCAAAACTTAAGTCACTTTAGTTATAAAATGCAGGTGTGTATATAACTCTTCACAGTTTGGTCACCTTTTGCAGCATGTTTTTCTTATTAAACTGAACAAATATTAGACAGATAGACAGAACTTTGTGAATGCTCATTTGAAGCAAATATGTGATTCATGTATAACAAATAAACATGCCATCAGTAAACCTAGCCATAGTACTAACCAATATTCAAAGTTTCACATCTGTCCATCTTAATCCTACAGCCACGGACCACGGTTACATTATAAACTATATATTTAAAAAAAATAAAAAATACTCCAGGTGCCTTCTTACCTTTGTGCTAACGATACACAAACAGTCCATTCTTCAGAGAGCGACCTCTCAGCATCTCATCGCAGCTGCTCTCTGTCGCTAAGATATGCGAATGCTTGTGCACGAATGCATAGTGCGCGCGACATGAACTTACTCTCAGTTGAGCAAACGTACACATCCATATACCCAGAGAAGTCAAGATTGCATCACCTCATGTTTCTTTTCAGCTGAGTTGCGTGTCGGGATTCTGAGGAGGAGGACGCCTGCACTCATATTGACGCGCATTCAGAGTTGATAAGAGCACCGCGGGGAGCCCGGCCAGCATACGCGCTCCTCTCACCTCTGGACACACGTGCTCCAACAGCACGTCACTGTGTGGGTAACCGCGAGCATTAAAACGCCTCTGCCCTCACTCTGCTGTTTCAGCATCAGTGGACTTCATGTTTTCCAATTAAATATGAAAAAAAAAATCACTAAAATGTTTGAGGTGACGCGCAAACAGCAACGAAATGACGTAAAAGTTCAATTAATTCTGCATCATTCTGTAACTAACCAAACCATGTTTGTGATTAATCGTGCTGGGATAAAATCAAACTGTAAAAAAAGGAATTCATTTCCCAATTAAAACTTTTTAGATAGAAGATTATAGGCATTTCTACAGTTTCTAAAGAACATTTCTAAAGAATGCTTTCAGCACCTTGTTGAATCAATGCCACATAGAATTAAGGCAGTTCTGAAGGCGAAAGGGGGTCAAACACAGTATTAGTATGGTGTTCCTAAAAATCCTTTAGGTGGTTAGATAGGTAGATTTATCGTTCTGTTTATTCTCAGCGCTTGCTTGCCCATCACTTTAAATGCTCAAGCTCACATGATGGATCCTGATTGGCTGTCAAAGGTTTTTACGTCATCAGCTGGATAAAATCGTTGTCAAAATGATTCCAAGTATGATATTGTTTATCTGTAACGTTATCATTATAGCTGTGGAAAGAACTCAGCTATTCTTTGATATTGAAAATGATTTTTAGAACTATATCTTTATCGGTGTGTTTATAGTTCTTGTCCTTGGTTTGAACAGGCCTTTAAACCGATAAAAGTCGATAATAGTCAGTCCTTCAAGCTGTTTTTTCTTGATCAATTTAGTAAGCCTATTTAAAATTCATTTAATCAAACAACATTTTTTGGGGGGATGTTCATGTTTCATGTTTCTGTTGCCCTTACTAAAAGTGTAAAAGTGCATTCATTTGAAACCATAGTTCCATAAATATATCCAGAAAGCTATAGTTATATACAAAAATATTTGAAAAGGGTATGTTAGACCCAATTACAGTTTCTTACATGCGGTCAATCATTGTGGAGAGATTTTTGTTGGAAAAAATAAAACACCACAAAGCTAGAAGCACGCCCTCTGTGCCAGACAGCCAGTGAAAACATAAAATGATCTACAATCAAACACTCACAACCACCATTTGAGTCTTCATAGAAATGAGACTGCTGTGCATTTTTAAAACTTTCTATCCAAAGTGTGGCAGATCACTTTCAATCCCAACAGAAAATAAGTCTACCCACTCCCAAAAATGTGAGCAAATAATTTAAATGAAAAAAAATGCATGACAAGTCCTTATCAAATTTAAATGAGAAATTACCATCATTAAAATAACAAGCTAACACTAAATATTCTGCATTTAGAGTCACAGAACTCCTATGTACTATTTTAAAGTAACACATCTAAACTCCAATCAGTTTAGTCAATGGTTTAAAACTTCACACATTCCAAATTATGCATATTAATTAAGGGGCATTTCATTCTCACTTTCCTTTTAAGCATAAGTTTAACAAACACTGGACGTTCTGAAGTAGGTTCATCTGAGCTGAATCATTACCATGATTTAAAAAAAGAACATTATGATGGGTCTCTGAATGATATTAGCACTAATCTACAAATAGTATACCAACCACTATCCAAGTTCTATACTGAATCAATATAACACTCACAATCATCCTGCTTTTCCAAATATCAACACAGCTCAAAAAACTAAAAGAGAATTTAACTTACATTTTAGACAACAATGCCAGTTACCTTGTCTATTTTGATCCTCCAATGAAAATGGTCTACAAACCTGAAGGAGGATCAACCATTGCATTCATATGAGCAACACGGAAGTGCTACTTCACTCAGTATGAATCACTATTTTTAAATGAATCATTGAATGAATAACTACTTTCACAAGTATAAAACCATTTATTCTTGTCCTTTTCAGCATCAACAATGGTGTCATAATTTGCAGCAATTACTATCAATAACAATATTCAAGATACGTGAGCTGCATACAGCAAACATGCTCTTCTATGAAGCATATATAACAACATAACATTCTGCTTACCTCTTCGCTTTGAGGACAGATGTTGGGAATGGTTTCTGTTGGTCCAGTGGTACTGGGAGGGCCAGAGAAATTCCATTCGTTAACAGGAGGAAAAGGTTCTCTGGTTTTAAGGCTTGATGACTCTATGGGCTTATCCTCATTATCCTGGAGGCTCACTTCATAAAATTCCTGGATATCTGAAAGAATTAACAGGTAATAAAGTACATGAGATTATATAGGCAGCCACCAATACAGCTATAATCCCTAAAAATGTTCACAGCATCAAACGTTCATGAAAATACAGATTCCACATTATTAGAACAAATTTATACACATTTTTCAGAGACATCCATACATGCATGCACACTAACAGACTTTAGGGGAGCAATGTAAATTTATATATATATTATATATATATATATACACACACACACACACAGACCAAAAAGGATTATTAAGAACACCACTAATACTGTGTTTGACCCTCTTTCGCCTTCAAAACTGCCTTAATTCTATGTGGCATTGATTCAACAAGGTGCTGAAAGCATTCTTTAGAAATGTTGGCCCATATTGATAGGATAGCATCTTGCAGTTGATGGAGATTTGTGGGATGCACATCCAGGGCACAAAGATCCCGTTCCACCACATCCCAAAGATGCTCTATTGGGTGGAGATCTGGTGACTGTGGGAGCCATTTTAGTACAGTGAACTCATTGTCATGTTCAAGAAACCAATTTGAAATGATTCGAGATTTGTGACATGGTGCATTATCCTGCTGGAAGTAGCCATCAGAGGATGGGTGCATGGTGGCCATAAAGGGATGGACATGGCACTACGATGCCCAATTGGCACTAAGGGGCCTAAAGTATGCCAAGACCATGGTAACAAGGCATGATGGATCCATGTTCTCATTCTGTTTACGCCAAATTCTGACTCTGAATGTCTCAACAGAAATCGAGACTCATCAGACCAGGCAACATTTTTCCAGTCTTCAACTGTCCAATTTGGGTGAGCTCTTGCAAATTGCAACCTCTTTTTCCTATTTGTAGTGGAGATGAGTGGTACCCAGTGGGTTCTTCTGCTGTTGTAGCCCCTCCGCCTCAAGGTTGTGCGTGTTTAGGATTTACAAATGCTTTGCCGCAGACCTTGGTTGTAATAAAGTGGTTATCTCAGTCAAAGTTGCTCTTCTATCAGCTTGAATCAGTCAACCCATTCTCCTCTGACCTCTAGCATCAACAAGGCATTTTCACCCACAGGACTGCCACATACTGGATGTTCTTCCCTTTTCACACCATTCTTTGTAAACCCTAGAAATGGTTGTGCGTGAAAATCCTAGTAACTGAGCAGATTGTGAAATTCTCAGACGGGCACCAACAACCATGCCATGCTCAAAATTGCTTAAATCACCTTTCTTTCCCATTCTGACATTCAGTTTGGAGTTCAGGAGATTGTCTTAACCAGGACCACACCACTAAAATCATTAAAGCAACTGCCATGTTATTGGTTGCTAAGATAATTGCACTAATGAGAAATTGAACAGGTGTTCCTAATAATCCTTCAGGTGAGTGTATATATGGCTACACCAAAAAAGGAGCCATCCATTGACCAGTATGCTGCCTTCAACACAGAGGGTCATAATTGATTTGAAAATGTTCATCATATTCATCTTTACGTTTCTGTAAAAGTAGGCTGCACACTGCACATTATGTCTTCCCACACACATAGCAGCCGACATGCAAGTAAATCACCAAGGATTTCTGTGTGCAGTGGCATGAGATTCTGATCTTTTTTTTTAACACATTCTTTTGGCTTTTTAGAGATACTGTTGAGTCCTTATAGATGTTTTCAGCCTAAAACACAGACTAGATTGACTAATAATATGCTGGACTAATAAGAACACCATGAAACACAAATACTGTTTATGGTTAAATGAGAGTTCAGAAATGAGAGCAAAATGAGGAGTTTAAATCATGGAAACATAATGGTAATAAGAATGCACCAAGTTGTAACCCACTGAGGGTTCAGTGCATAACTGGAAACAAAATAGAGTGATGATGCATTTCAAAGTATAAAACAAATATACAAAAACATTCCAAGTTATTACTTCATCGTTATTTCTGGATAGATATGTTCCGTTGGACTTTGTAACAGTGCTTATCTAATTTCTTCTTCCATTTGATCTTATTTACATAAACTCCCAAAAGATCCAGCTTAAAAGCGAAACTCAAAAGATTTTCCCAAATTGACGAAAATTAGATAAATTACTTGAAATGATTAAACGAAACATTGTTTAGCCTATTACCAGCAAATATTATCCAAGACACTTTTTGAAAAAAAACACATTACTCATCCATTTCAATCACTTCTCCATACCTAGTAATTACTTTAAAATAAAAACAACCCAAAATGCCAATTTTTCTAAAAACTAAAGGGATTGACACAAATGACAATTGTGTCATCATTTACTTATCCTAAAGTTGTTCCAAGCCTATATAAATTTCTTTCTTCTGCTGAACATACAATATGATATTTTGAAGAATATGAGTAACCAAATAGTTAATGGTCCATCAACTGTTTGAGTAGCCTACTCATATTCTGATGACAGAATTCTCATTTCTGGGTGTAGGCTACTATCATTTCCCTTTTATAATGCTTTCAGTGAACTATTGAAACCCTGCTTCTTTTAATTTTCTCTAATTGTTATTCCATAACAAGTTTAAAATTTTGGGTCAACACCTTTATTTGCAGTTAAATAAAATAAAAAACAATGCTGCTGTAACACACCACTGAACTTGTCAAACACAAAAAGTCAAACCTGTTCCACCATTTCAGCACACAAGACAAAATGCTAAGAAACTTTCTCAAGGAAAAAATCAGTTGTTCTAACAGCAACTTACCTATAAGAGCATGGAAGAGTGTACTCTGAAATATGTCGATGACTCTCTCAATTGAAAGTCTGAGATGAGGGTCTCCAGTCTGACTGAGTTTAGTTCTGTATTCCTCCAGAAGCTGCAGTGCCCTCTGAGCATCTGAAAAAAAATATATATATATTATTATTATTATTATGAAACACTGCTGAAAAACACTGGGCAGACAGAACAAAATAAGAGGTTTAAAATAGATTAAGAAAATATAAATATTTATTTATTTCTCTCATATTCAAATATTGCCTATACGGAATTTATATAGGCTACATTTTTAAAGATACCTCACCTTTCTTTCTCACTGGCATGATCAAGACTCGAAGATTCAAAGTCCCACACTTTTTAAAAGGCGATGCTGTAAAGCATTGGAATGAATGAGCGGTCACTTTCACTTTGAGTCCGCGTCACTTTGATTTGGCAGTGATCAACAACAATCACCGGTGATCGCTGACCGGGTCAGAGTGACATGTGAGAGTGAAAGATCAATAGCAATAATCCGCCAATACAACAAAAAAAAAACTATAAACAACCAACTTCATTCATAACCTGCTGTCAGAGAAGGCAGAACCCCGTAGGCTTTCAAACAACTCTGGACTTATAACAACTTTCTGCAGACGAATGAATGGAGTAAAACAGAAAAACGCGGTGTGCATTACAAATATTTGGAAAAACTGCCTCCGGTCTGTTGCAATGGAAGTGGTAGAATTGGCAGAAATACTAATAATCCCTGTTGGAGTGCAAGTAAAGTTCACTCGTGGACGGGTTGCCGTCTGACTGGAGTCGGATTCCCACACGTCCGTAATCGAAACTTCTTTAGCGCAACACTTCCTCTTTCTTCTAGTATGCCCGAAATTCCCAAACTTTCCTGCAAAATGGCGACCTTGATATGCAAACAGATCACATGATCTACTGATCTACTGCCTTCCCTCTGCGCTCAAAGGAATCAGCGCTCAGGTTTCTTCACTCAGCAGCTGCGAGGAAGCAGACAGTAAAAGAGCGAGCTCTTTATTAAGTTTATCCTCACTTTAAGTAATGAAATCTGGAGAAATTATATGAGAACCATAGAACATCAGTCTCCTTCAGAGTTTATACAGGTAGTGGTAGTATAGGATATGCCTATAGGCTATATCATTTTATTCAGTTTTATTTTAAAACTTAACTAACAAAGACATTTTTAAGCCTGTGCGTCCTTCAGTTGTTTGACAGCATCTGGAGTAGCTATCTTGTAAAAATGGTGTGACATCATAACAATCCTCATAATCCATTGGCCTGTGTCTGCTAATGAAATGACTGTGATTGAGGTTTAGTCTCTTGAATGGCGAACTGGAATTATCAAAATCCTGCTTTACTCATTAAGTATCACCCATGACTGAAAATGAGTCTTTGTGATTTCATGTTACTCATTACACATCAGTGATTTGAGTGGTGTCTATTGTGCAAGAGTTCTTAATATTTCACAGTTTGTATTTGTATAGGTGACAAGTAGCCTAATTTTTTTCATTGATGGAGAAAAAAATATTAGGCTAACTGGTCAAGTTTGAAATATATTAATAACTTTATAGAACTAAATATCCTATTATATAATACAGTAACAATGAATAACATTAACAATCAGCAAAAGATTTGTTGCAGTGCAGTATTTACTAATTTTGATTGAGACATTATAAAAATACAACTGTTCATGTTAGCTCAGTCTCATGTAGACAATGACTTTTGTGTTGAATTTAACATTAATTACATTAATAAATGCTTTCAAATAGTTCATATGTTAACTAATTGGCTAAGTAATGTTAACATAACTTTATTGTAAAGTGTTACTCAAGCACCCCAGCGAGAATAACATTTGAATAATATGTTTCACATATGCCAACTTCAATAAAAATACTGTACTGGACACACACGTTAATTCCTTCATAACTATCGTTTAATATCTATTCAGTGTTTTGTGCAAATAATTAGCATATGTTTTAATCATTCAGTTCTGTAACAGAGTTTTTTTCAAATGAGGCAACTTATTCAATGAAAGGCACACTGTTACCATGCAAAGACAAAGTCTGGCTAAGTTTGGCTTTTGTTGGTTGTTTTGTTTTTTTTTAAATGGCTTTTGTCATTTGAATCTTGTGTAGGGTGGATGCCGAGTCACAGGGTGCTGTCACGTTGCCACAGTTTGGGTGGGGAGATGTTTGCCACACACACACCAACGAAAAAAACAGTGGTGTCTTTCTCAAACGCCCATTAGAGTCAGAGGCTTTTTTCCAGAGCGTTTTAGACACAAAGAAACTATGTTATGAATGGCTGTACAGGCAGAACATTTTCACAGATTTACAAGGGTCCATTTATTAAAAATGTGTACAAATTGAAGGCCAACTGAATACTATGTCTGAGGAGTGCTTCCACAATTTTGACAGATACTTCTGCCGCCCACACAGTTTAACATGCCTAGGCTTGAAATGTGTAGTGTCTAATGCCTAATGGATTCTTACTATACAAATTCTATTGTATTATTCTGTCTGCTTATTCCCACAGCATTGCTTATATGAAAAATTTAAGTTAAATTAAATTTAAGTTAATAATGATATTCTATAATAATAGTAAACCCCAGTTCACCACTGATTATGTAGAATTCCCTTTCAATATCTTAATTTATGGAAAGTTATGTTTTGTGTTGCTTTAAATAAATAGAGCTTTCATCCTTCGGTGGATATGTATTATTACAATTGCACACACGCCCTCTGCTTCTTTGAAGTATGTAAGTGAAGAGTCTTGACATGCATGGATGTAAACGGACCTGAGCACTTCTAACCCTTCATTTTGAAACCAGGCACATTACTCATACACAACACATCAAGTGGATTGTCTAATGACGAAGAGGATTTTAAAGTATGGATATGTATCAAGGATATATCTCAGATTCACATAGATTCATAACATGCATTTTAGACCACCCACAATGTGCATATTTCATTTTTGTATACTAGCAATTAGCACATCATCAAGTGGAGTGCATGATAAAGTTAACCAAAGTGGTTCTCAAACTTCTTGATTATAGGCCCTTAATATAAGATATAATATTTCTTCCAGCATGTTCTACTATAGCCTAATTATACTTTAAAACTTTTTATTAGCAGAAATTGGTTGTGTATGTGTTAATTAACTAATATAAATTAATCTCAAATATTTTATTTCAGATATTTTAATAAATGTTCAAATTAAAAAGATAAAAGAAAACACATTTTTATGTTTTTATTGTTCAGCATTTTAATAAAGTTAGATCATTTGCAAAATCCTGTGGCCTTGAGGCCCCCTAGTGGATTCCGGCCCCCTGGTTGAGAAATACTAGAGTATAGACATTGAATGACTATAGACCATTTTGCAAGATGTAAACAACACTGGTCCAGAAGCACTTCCTGTTTCAGTTTTTTTTAACACTACATAAATGCTGGGATAAAATACAACCAACAGAACATAAAACTGAATCAAAAAGTGAATCAAACATCTTTAAGATGTTTTCTTTACATGTGAAATAAAGAAAACAGTTACAAACTGAAACAGGAAGTGTTTCTGGACCAGTCAAAGAATGCCAAGAAATTATTCTCATGTCATTTCTCATCTGACCTTGAATTGGCAAATTGTTAAGAGCTACAATCTACACCCATCAAAGTCACGTCCTGTAATCAATTTCCATTAGAAGCACCTTCAGATTTCTGCTCTGGATATCTGATCTGAGTTGTACAAAACATCACCTTGTAATTCTCAGATAGGCTTGTCATGTGTACAATGGGGTTAATAATGATACATTATTTGAATGATTGACTTGTTTGATTAAATTGTTAGTTTATATTGTAACAGTTCAATGGACTTTCTCCTTCATTGTGTCTGCTTAGATTTAGGCATTTGAAAATGCATAAATCTTTCAGTGTCATGGTGATAGCCTACATGATCAAACAATTATGCAAAATGCATTTTCCTTTTATTGGTTTCCTTTGTAATATCTTCTGAACGAAATGGAGACTTTTTAAGTATTGAATGTCCACTCACAATGTCCATTAGAGTTATTGAAGTTGTATTACTCTGGTGTGTATGACGCTGGCAAGATTTAAATGACTCATTGCTGACACAGGAATAATAATAATAATCCAGTAATGTGTATAAAATTGTGTTTCATTTTCTCAAGCAGCAGTTCTACATCACTCAGAGCAGATCTCATTAGTGAGAGAGCTGAGATCCAGCAGTTAAGCTGCAGATCAGCAGGACTGACAAACTCTCATAAAAATCATGTAGGCCTATCATGCCTGCACCTGTTATGGGTTTTTAGTATTAGAAAATGAATAAATAACACTGAATTCTAATGACGTAAGTTTGTGTGAGGTGTAAACAACAAGTCCAAACTGTGCACTGTGATTAATTACTTGAAAACAAGCTCAGGTGAATATTTCAATATATAAAAGCTGGTAAAATTTAGTCATACTATATGGTTTTACACTGTTTTTGTATATTCAAGAAAACATCCATTCTAAATGTCCTTATTGTAACAACATTTCTCTCATTCATGATGCAATGTCTCTTGTGTTTGTTAGGTGGGTCATTCCTGGTATGTAGTGACATTTTGGCTTCATAAGTGTTGGTAAAAAGGACATGATTTTCATGTTTTAGCCTTTTAACCAAAACAGTGACATGTTTAACTATTAGGGATACATATTGGTCAAGCTCATGGACTCTTTAATAATAATTATTGGTAGATTCTGAAAATATTCCACCCTGTCAGGGACATAATGTAGTTATCACAACATGTTAATAATGTAAATGTTAAATAATAATGAGCTTTTCTTAGATAGTATATGCCATCTTAGATTTTTTTTTCTTCTTGAACAAGCAAAAATAATTTTTGATTAATAGAATAAGTTTCACATTCCAAAAATTCTGAGCTAAGCTAGCTCTTTGAGTGATCAACATTTAGCTAGATAACCTTCTACAGATGAACATAACTTTTATAACTATGTCCGATTTGTTATTACATTTTTTTTTTTTGATAGGACAAACATTCTCCATTACATATCCTAAAAGGGTGGAACTTTAAAGATGGGACAAGCAGGATAACATTTCAAAAACTAAAAAAAAAAAAATTAGGAGTGAAAGTTGAAGCTTACCTCAGTTTGTACTGTTGAATTCCAGCAGGTAAAAGAAAGTAAGTCACTTCTTGAAAATGGTCTCAAAGAAATTTGCAGTAGGATTTGGAAGGCTAAAAAAAGTACATAAGGGTGAAAGATGACGGGACGCAGTAATTGAAGAAAATTTTAAGAAAAAGAGCTATATTTTCACATGATTTATATGTATGATTAGAGAAAATTTAGCCTAGTCTAACATAATTTAAAAATATTTTGATTTTTTTTTTTTGTCATTTCATGGTTTATTTCTTTCAGAACTGTGCACTGAGGACATGATATAATTGAATGCAAACATCAATTAAAATTGTGTAAAATACAAAATTGTTACGCGCTGACAGGAACGAGGAGGAAGCAGGATCCACATGCAGCACACTTTATTAACTAAACTAAAAAACCCAATACAAAGACTTAAACCAGGAACAGGACTCAGGAGCCGAACAATCAACACCAAACATCACAACATCAAGAACTCACAAGGACTGAACAGGGCTTAAATACAGAGGAACAGATAAGTGAAACAAGACACAGCTGGGCAAATTAACTAACACAGTGAACACTGTGACAAAAAAATGTTTTTTTTTTTTTTTAATGTCTGTTATATGCTTATCTTTTTTTAATGTCTGTTTAAATGGTAAAGAATACTTAAATCTACACACTGTAAAAAAATATATGCCTC